GGCCCGTTATGGGCCACATTACGAAGGGCTGAGTAAAAAGGCCATGAAGTTACTCCGGGCCAAGAGAGGTGTGAAGTTACTCCGGCCAAGAGAGTTGTAAAGTTACTCCGGCCCAAGAGAGGTATGAAGTTACTCCAGTCCGCGAGAGACCTGAAGTTACTCCGGTCCCAAAAGAGCTTATGATAAGTTTGGTCGTCACTCACAAAAGTTATCCCGATTAGAACCAGAGTATTGGTTATTCCGGTCTAGACATACCGTGGTTAGCATTAAGAAGAGCCAAGGTAAGAGCAGTGAATGGAAGAGCTGAGCTATGTTATCTCGGTCTAGTCTGCGGCTTAGCATAGCCATGCTTACCTTGGCCACATTGGAGTCCGACCATGGTAGAACCATCTCACTTGGTTTGAGCAGTGAGGGGGGTGTTGAAAGATAAGCATTATCTTTCAGGAGTATGAATCCTAGGAGGACTCTACATGGAGAAGTAAGAGTCCTACTTGGATTGTGCCACACGGAACCTATAAAAGCTCACAAACATCACCTATGGAGAGGTAACACACAACTTTGATACACAAAGCTTCTTGTCTTTATCTATTTTTCTGACTTAGGCATCGGAGGGGTTTCCGGCACACACCCGCCGGCTAGCTCACGTTTGTGTTTTCAGGGAATAAAGCGACGACGTTTGGAGGAGTGCAGACTTGATTAACAGGATTATACGAGAAGGTTTATTTCTTTCCCGTACAATAAAGAACCTTAAAAACCTGTTCTTATATATCTGTTGTTCATTTGTCTGTTATACATCTGTTGAGATTCTTAAAACAATCTGTTCTTGATTTGAGAAACATATACATGTACATCTGTGCTTAACTAGCGGTAACTCGTGCGATGCACGGAAAAATAGATCATTTATATTTTGTGTGAAACCATGATATTAAACCATCTGGGTAGATGTTAACAATAATTAACCCATAAAATTTTACAATAAAATTTGATATGCATAAGAAATTATTAATTATAAAAACTATTGAGAATAATAGTATCATAATCACTTAATAACATAAATGACTTGTATCAAACTAAACAAAACATTAAAAGAGAGAAATTCTATAAGCTCATAAAAGTTATCATAAATTTACTTGGACTTTTAAATCAGTGGTGTATATTATTATTGTGGGATCAAATTATGAATATCAACTTTTAATTATAATTTATAAGTAGTTTTTTAAAAATTTTAATTTAAGTTTGTTGCCTTACTTATAAAAAGAACTTCTCAAACAAATCATTAATTGATTATATTAGCAACTCTCTATCTTTGATTTCCTCTATCAATGACACACGCATATCATATCAAAGTATAAATCATTCTCCATAATTTGAAGAATACTTGCATAGATCCAATGTCATTTTAAAAAAATTAATCAAGATAAGAATTTCATAGTATTATAAAAATTATATAAGAGAATAGTTTTAATCTATTTTATTTATAAAAAAAATGATGAAAAATTATTTGAATTGTACTTGAAGAAATATAACAAATGATAGTTTTAATCATTATATAGCCAAAAAAAAAAATTATATCTGTGGGAAAAAATGGTTGAATACAAATAAAGTTATGGACATTGAATTAAATCATATGGGCTTTAAATTGATAGTATAATATAACAAATCAACTAAAATAATATAGAGATATTAACAAACATGTAGTACTTCCTTATCATCTTTGTATTATATTCATTAATTTCATAGATTAAATGAAAGTTTTATTCGTCTCGATAAGGACCAAGAAAACAAATTTGATAAGAAATTGATTCTAAACTTAATTATTGAAAAAACAAAATTTTCAAAGAGAGAATTTAGAGATGAGATTGGAGAAACGAATGACAGCCTCAAAAAAAAAAAAATGATCTACTACAATTTATTTTTAATAACTAAGAGAAAAAATATCAAATTATTATCTTTTATAAATATAGTGAAGAAAATTAATTTGTGAGATTTTTGTGCTGCCTTCTCCCATGTAGCCTTTATTATTTCATTATTAATACTCTTCTCATTTAGAGTGAACCAATTTCATTATTATTCAGAGTCAATAATTCTTTTTTTAATCTTTATCACTTGGTAGATAATAACGAATAATAAAAATTATCAAAAGAAGGTTAAGAATTTAATAGGAGATAAGAAGTTATAGATAAAGACATTTCATAAGATAAAAAATTTAAAATAAAAAAAGATAATATGTGATAGGAGAAAAAAAATATGAGCAAATGAAAATAAAGATTTAGATATATATGTTTTTTATAGATATAAAGATTAACAAATCATGTCTTTATCTAAATTTTATTATTTTACTTTTTTTGTAAATCAATTATTTAATCTTTATCTTTATTGTAGGCCACGAAATTAATTTTTATAAATTATTTATCAATTTTCATATGTTTATTTATCTATAAGTCATGAAATTATTTTTTTAATTAATTTTTTAATTTTTATCTTTATCTATAGGTCATGAAATAAATTTTCATAAATTATTTATGAATTTTTATATGTTTATCTATAATGAAATTAATTAAAGTACGAAATGAAGGGAAGAAAAAATGAGTAATTTTGTTTTTTTTTTTTTATAAAAAAACAATTATTTAATCTTTATCTTTATTTGTAGGTCATGAAATTAATTTTTATAAGTTATTTATCAACTTTTATTTGTTTATTTATAGGAAGAAATTTTAAATTATCTATAAGTTATGAAATTAATTTTTTAATTTTTATTTTTATCTGTAGAGTATAAAATTAATTTTTAGTTTTTATGTGCTTATCTATATGGAGAAATTTTGAAATTTAAATCTTTATCCATAAACAATGAAATTAATTTTAATTATAATTAATCAAACAAATAGAAAATGAAGAAAAATAAAAAACATGAAAGGCAGTCAAAGAAGGTTGCCACGTAGGAAAGAGAGAGTTTCAAAATTATGAGAATTTAGGAATAAATATTTGGAGGTTTTTAACAAAACAACTACATTTGGTTATATATATAGTATAGATAGATAAAGTAATCTGCTCTTCAGTTGTTGTTATACAAATGTAAGGGAAGTAAGTTGATACAGATATATATATAAATCTGTTTTGGGGATAAATGTATGATCAATCTATGATACAAACTGTCAAATCGGACATAGAGATGAAGTAGTTTATTCTTTTTGGAACTTCTTGTGTGGGAATTTAAACGTACCTAACAGTTTATGCAAATGTTTATCCATTTCAAAGCTTTTGCACTTACTCGACGCAAATTGATAGGAAACACACGGTATTCATGGCTTATTATTATTATTATTATTATTGGTTTGGGGTTGTATATCTCCAATGTGTGCAAGTGCATATGGATAAAAGAACGTGGATGAAGAACATAAAATAGAAAAAGGCCAAAATAGATTTTTAAAACTTAATTAAGAGACGTAAAAAATTAATTTCACAAATTTAATTTGAAAAGAAGTTTACCATTGTAATACATGTGGATGAATAATAATTTTCAAAAATAACTTTTATTAATGGTAACTTACGACATTAGTATTTTTACGTTACCATTTTCATTCATGTAATCGTAATTGATTTACTTTGATCACGAATGTATAATTAATGTATATAATTGATTTTGCCATAACATGAATTCTTAATTTGATAATGTAAACACACGATGTTCATTACTATGTTCCATATATTATTATTGTTTTTTTTTGGTTGTATATATCCCATGTGTGCAAGTGCATATGGGTTAATAAATAAGTTTACCACTATACAAAGCTATGGATGAATAATACTTTTACAAAATCCTTTTCATTAATGAAATCAAATTATGACAGTGGATTTGTACATAATCATTTTGATTCATGTAAATTTAATTGAATTGTAATTTGATTATGAATTTACAATTTACATCAAATTGGCTTAATTTGATCATGAATTCTTAATTTGATTCATCTAAACACATGGTATTCATGCCTTTTTTTATCTATTAGGTTTGAAAAGGAAATTACAGATTTACCTTTCTATTAACACTTTGACAGTGAAACCATAATTGGTAGGCTGCTTTTCTTTAATATTAAATGAATAAAATAATGAGTTTGTATACCCATCGTATGAAATTTGTGCATTGGCGTGTTCAGTTCATGTTTAACCTGAAATATGGATATCATAAACTAATTACTGCTATGATTCATTGTTACTTTCGAATGTTTGTCGTTCATAACATGGCTTCGTTTACCTCTAGTGTAACTTCTAGTACATGGCCACGTCGAATGTGTGCCTGTGGACATGGCTCCTGTATTGTTAAGATTTCAAGGTCCACCAAAAATCCAGGGTGCCCCTACTTTGCATGCCCCCGCCCTGTGGTGAGTGCCCAATTCATTACTAGTCATAACTGCATGAACATTAAGAACCCATTGACTAATAGTTTCATCATTTCCACTCATTAGCCTTGTGTTAGTTGGATTGGTTGGTGCGAAGAACCAAGGCGAGAGAGCACGGACTATGCTTCATCCAGAGACAAAATTGTCATGCAATTACGGGATGATGTCATACATATTCAACAATCCTTGCGTGTCCTTAAGACCATTGTGTATGTGCTATGCATTGTCGTTGTCATTTTGTTGTTGCATATGTAACCAACGTTAAGATGTTGTTAGTATGTACAAACACGTTACGGGGTTGTTAGTATGTTGGTAGTATGTTTTAGTATGACTATAATCTTGCTGTGCGTTCCTCCACTACGAAAGAGTAGACGTATTAATGACTATCATAACTATGTGCACCGCTTAGTTCCATGTTTGTTTATGTATCTTTCTAATGCGCAATGGTTATATGATGTGTAATTTAGCATCCTATTTCTCTATTTATTGTTCATGGGCATAGATTGAGCATCGTGCAACCAATTTAAATTATTCTACTATGGGCTTATACGTTTGTATGTAACAACCAAATATGTGATGGTAATCTTTTGTAACCGTACATTAGTAATGGCTTCCATATGTACTTCGACGCGTACCCAATCCAAAAGCAAAGGCATTGTCACAGAGAAGTCAAGCAGTCTTGAAGAGACACAGACTCAGTTCAGCCACAAGGCCTCATGGGACAATGACTCAATCCGAGTTTTCCTGCAATTGATTGCAAATGAGATTGCAAAAGGAAATCGGCCATTCCTAGTCCTCAGCCAAGCAGGGTACAAGTCGTTGGCTAGGAAATTTGAGAAAAAAATAGGAAGAAAACATGGCCTCAAACAGTTGAAGAATAAATACATGAGTTTGAAAAAAAAGTGGCAAACGTGGACAAAGTTGATGGATTCAAGCAAAGGAGTGTCAGGGATAGGGTTTGACTGTGACACCGGTATGTTTCAGGCACCTGAGGAGTGGTGGGACAAGATGGAATCGGTAAGTACATGTTTCTTGTGTTTCATATTTGTCTGCTACCAGTACATGACCTTTTTAGTTAACTTTTAATTAATTATATGAAATGTAACGTCTTTCTCTTTCGTATATCTCCCTTTGTACAGATAAACAAGGTGTGTGCCAAGTTCAGGAAAACAAATTTGGAACATCGTGACTTGATAGTGACGGTCTTCATCGATGCATCAGCTACTGGTAAGCACCATTGGATCCCGGGAGAGAAACTTCCTGAAGATGCTAATGACTCATCTGATTCTGTGCATAGTTTGGGAGCCCAGCCATTTGCTGATCCGATACGCGCAGGAGTACAGGACGTGGATTCAGATTCATCACTAGAACCTATTCCGATTAAAAAGGGAAGAAGGAAAAAGATGCCATCAACAAGTGTTTCAAAGTCGAAGAAGGCAACAAGTGTAGCATCAGTTATTGCGGAAAGCATGAACAATCTAACAAATGTGGTGCATACGAAGAATCAGCAGGTTACGGTGAGGCACCTCACAAGCAACGAATCGCTGTACACTATTTCAGAGTGCATGCATCGCTTGACGACTATTCCATCCCTGATTGGTACACCGCTATTTCATTTCGCCTCGACACTTGTGGACAACGCAGATTACCGGGAGGTGATGATGTGTCAGCCTGATGACGACCACATCATAGGGTGGCTTACACAAAAGCAGCTCCAGTGTACTGCGTCGGCGCCGTTTGTGAACCTGTTTGGGTTTCGTCGGATGTGACATAGCTGTGTTAGGATTGTTGAAGATGCTTGCCCTTCTGTTGCTTTGGAAAAATTTTAGTTATGTTATTGTTGGCACTATACTAAAATAGGATGGTTATGTTTGCATGTTTTAAACTATTCCTTGTTTTTTTTTTTCTTGCTAGCTATGGTGAACAAAATTTTTGCATGTTTGTCGTAGACAGAATGAAAGCATGGTTGTGCATTTTTTTTGGAAAGGAATATGATGCTTGTGTTTGAATTAAATGTATGGCAATGAAATGTGCAACGACGGCTTGCGTGTGCTGCTTTTGTATTTGTTTATTTTGTTTCGGAAACTGTTATGTTAGTTTTACGTCATTTTTTGTGGTTGTGTTAGTAATGGTCCCCCTGTAAACAATAACCACCAGGTTCAGTATTTGTTTAATTCATATCATTATGCGTTAGTAACGACATTGGTGACGGCATTACTTACATTAAAAATGATGTCGGCATTCTGTAATTGCAAACTGTTATTATATTTGAGTCAATAAATCACGTGCAAACTGATTGAAACAGTGCCACTCATGTAGGTTTCGCGTCAACGAAGACATGATGAATCCCTGGGGTGGAAGCAACAATGACGATTTAAGGGAAATGCTTAATCAAATGACCGTACACTGCAACAAGAAAACAACTGGACATTTCTACAAGCATGCTAGTATGCGACAGAGTGGTATGAAAAACACATGGCTAAAACGCCATGTCGCACTTCTATATTGACCGGGCATGCATGGATATCCGGACTATATGCGGGCCATATGGGTCGATTTAAAGAAAATGTTTGCATGTCGAAGGAAATTTTTACCGCTTTGTGTGAGACATTAGTAAATGATTTTGGGTTACAAGTACTGCAACGTCCACATGGCTTAGCTATTGAAGAAAGCGTTGCAATGTTTATCCACGTGTTGAAAGGGATGCAAAATCGGGAATTCCAAGAACGGTTCCAACATTCGGGGGAGGCTGTGTCTCGGCACGTGCATAACATATTAACTTCTATGAAAGAGTTCACTATTGTTCATTGCCAGCCCACATATAGTCAGCATCGTATACATCCATACGTGCGATCTAAACAGAAATACATACCGTTCAAGGTATTACTGAAAAACATTACCTACTTATTTGTGCGAAGTCCAGTTATTATGTTTGTCGATTATTAAGTGGACGTGACGTCTGAAAATGACCATTACATGTACCCGTAGAAGTAACAATACAATTAGGTTGTTTGCAGGACTGTATTGGAGCAATAGATGGAACACATGTAAGTGCATGGGTTACGGGCCAGATGCGGCAACATATTTCGGTAGAAAATACTGTCACACGCAAAATATCATGGCCGCGTGCGATTTTGACATGTGTTTCATCTTCATTTCGTGCGGATGGAAAGGAAGTATGCATGATAGTCGCATCTTCAACGAGACTCTAACAAATGACGATGTCCCATTTCCACATCCTGAAGAAGGTAACACAGTGCCATGAATTCTTAATTGATGGGGCTACAATTTTTTGTCAAACAGTGTTACTTGAAAATGAAACACAATGTAGATTTTAGTGTCATAAATTGTTGTACTGTCTGCAGGCAAATATTGGTCTTGTTTGGTGTAATTGTTAAAATAGATTATAGATTATAGCTTAACAGATTATGGATTATGACTTGAATCAGAAGTTGTTAATCTGTTTGGTGTAACTGTTGGATTATAGATTTAAGTTGCTAAGTAGTGTTTGTTAAATAAGCTGTGAAGTAACTTTTTCAATTAACTTTTATTTTTTATTATTTACTATTTGTCTACATTTCTCATAAAAAATAATAATAATATTCTATAGTCCATTTAGGTCTTTTTCTATTTTAAAAAAAATAAAAAATAAAAAAAATCTAAGAGTAAATCGTGAATTAACATGTCCACAGCAGAAGCTGATAATCAGAAATAAGGGGTGAGCAGCTTCTCAGAATCATCTTTTTTACCTTAAAATAAGTTATTAGAATCAGAAGCTGTTTCAAAATAAGTTTAACCAAACAGTCCAAAATAACTTTTTAAAAACCAGAAGCCATAAGTTGGCTCAAAAAAGCCACACTAAACACCCACAATATCTTGTCGATTCTGGCTATCCAAACCGGGTAGGTTACCTAGCACCTTTCAGAGGCAGCCGTTACCACCAACAAGAATTCCGACGTACTCAATGGAACAGGACGGCAAAAACGCCAAGGAAATTATTTAACAAAGTTCACTCGTCATTACGCAGTGTGGTGGAACACACGTTCGGTGCCTGGAAAAATCGATGGGAGTTTATTCGAGACATGCCTCGGTATGACTTTGTAAATGTGCAAGTTCAGTTAGTAGGTGCGTCAATGGCATTACATAATTATATACGGCGAAACACAGGTAATCCAACATCTGTTCACCCAATCTGCGACGAGGAAGAGGCTACGACAATAGTAAATGTTATACCAGAAGTTGAACATGACGAGGATGGTTTAATGGTTGGGGATGAGAACTCGTATATGGCATTGATGCACCTTTGCATACGCGACAAGTTAGTGTACTTGCGTAATAACAGAACGTTAGGAAATATATAATAGTCCACCTAATTTTCGTAGGGTTGTAACATTGGTAACACACGTGGAACAGACTGTATTCAAATATATTATCATGTACAATATGTATGTGTTTACACGGGAATATAATCCCTTTCAGCTGGTGACGTGCCTAACTTTAAGAAACTAAAAACAATAGAAAAAGCCTTTTCGGGAAAAAAAAACCAAGGTCAAACAGACAAGGGAAAAAAAAAATTCAAAATTTATCATGTGCCACGTTCGTTAAAAACATAAAAATTTCAGTTTAAAACAACAAAAAGCCAAGAGAGACATGAATAATTATCATGTGCCACAGCAGTGCATTATGATTTTTGACATCAAAAAGCCAAGAAAGACATGAAAAATACGCCTCACCCACAAAAAAAAATAAAAAAATAAAAACATAATTTACCATTTGCCACGTAATTTAAAAATAAATACAACACATGAAAATCTATTTTTAAAAAATAAAAACAAATTAATGTATACCAATAAAAATGAAAATGACAAAAACATAAATTTTAAAAAAAGAACCAAAAAAATACGCCTCACCCACAATAATAAAAAATAAAAAAATAAAAATATAATTTACCATTTGCCACGTAATATAAAAATAAATACAACACATGAAACCCATTTTTCAAAAATAAAAACAAATTAATGTATACCAATAAAAATGAAAATGACACAAACGTAAATTTTAAAAAAAGAACCACAAAAATATGTCTCACCCACAAAAATAACAAATAAAAAAATAAAAACATAATTTACCATTTGCCACGTAATTTAAAAATAAATACAACACATGAAAACCCATTTTTCAAAAATAAAAACAAATTAATGTATATCAATAAAAATAAAAATGACAAAAACATAAATTAAAAAAAATGAACAAATTAATGTATAAAAAAACAAAAAAAAAAAGAAAAACATAAATTCCAAAAAAAAAAAAAAAAAAACCGTAACAAACCGTCCCTAAGACTCACTGGAACAAGCTAATGATAATGGCAATAAGCCAATGTTCAACTTCTCCGTAGGATCGTGGAAAAAAAAAAAAAGTGAACAATGATGCTAACGTGGACCCTACGACAAGGTCAAGAAATAGCCAAATCACTTGAAGGGCAGTTCGGTAATTTAATATGAAGACATTTCACCAAAAAGGGGAGCTTCTATTTGCACACACACATTACACTCTATACATATCTTTTTCAATAAATAATTGGTTTGGAAGTAGCATTTTGAAAATAAACAATTGGTTCCGAAATAGACTTCCGAATTTTTATCATTTTTTCGACATTCAACTTCCGAATGTGTTTATTTGATGTCCATAATAGTAATTTCACTTGAAAAAAAAATTATAATAAAAATAATTTTTATGAAGTGTGTGCAAAGAGGGGAAGGGGGATGTGTAAATAGAAGCTCCCCACCAAAAAGTCAAAAGGCAAAAAAGTAATAAAGTCCTTTTCAAACTAGGTTTTTTAGCCAAAAAAAAAAAAAAAAAAAAAAAACTAGATTTTTTAGTCATAGACTAAAATAACTAAAAAAATTAAAAAGTCAAAAAGTCAACCCACTTTCCAAACGACACCTAAGGGTGTTTAAGTATTAAATTGACAAAATTAGAACTTTGAGAATCAAAGTGACATGGATTACACACTTTAAGGAACATAGATAAAATTTAGGGTTAATTACAAAAATAAATAAATAAATAAATTAAGATTTCACACATTTTTTATTTTAAATCCCAATATTTCAATTTTAACAAATTAAATCTTGGAGTTCCATCCATATTTCAATTTGGCCCCTCCAGCCATCTCTATCTATGTAAGGCAACAGAGGGGGTTTAAAGTGAAAAGTATTGGGATTTAAAATGAAAAATGCGTGAAACCTTGGAGATTTACACAAAATAACTAAAAACAAAAAAAGGATTAATTATAAAATAAATCCAAAATTTCACGTAATTTGCACTTTAAATCTCAATGCTTTTTACTTTAAATCCCCTCTGTTACCTTATACAGATAGAGATGGACGGAGGGAGCAAATTAAAATACAGATAGAGCTATTTGTCGAAATTGAAATACTATAATGAAAAATGCGTAAAACCTTGATTTTTTTTTTTTTTGGTGTGTGTAATTAATCCTAAAATTTATTATTATTCATTTACCTATTTGAAATTCGACTAATTTGACCCAAATTGAAAATTTTAGGAACAAAATTGACAAATTGAAACTTAAGAATTAAAGTGATACAAAACACTTTAAAAATGGTAGATACATTTTATCAATGCACATTAATATAACTACAGTGGAATACATACTAGTAAAATGGTAGATACATTTTATCAATGCACATTAATATAACTACAGTGGAATACATACTAGTATCTATACACAAAAAAATGATTAGTTGTATAT